TTCGCACGTTGCTCAGGCCATTGAGTGGGAGACGGACCGGGTGCCGACCTTTAGCACCTGACTGCAGGCGGTAGTAGGCGCGCAGGCAAAAGGCGCGATGCGTCAGATCTTGAATTCCAAGTCGCTGCTAGGGCTAATACAAGATTATTAGGAAAAGGCAAATTAAAATCGGGTCAAGCCCGCTACGCTGAATAAATCCTTTCCTCACATGTGTGGATTGGATATAACACTGGCAATTTTAACTGTTCGGGCATCAAAATAAAGGTATATTTAATTCATAAGCTTGTCATCTTTGCCAAAAGATTCAGGTTTCAGGAGGAGATCCTGTTCAGACCAATCAAAGGCCTTGACTAAATCGATATAGACGACGTATAGTGCAAGACTGCTGCCCCAGGATTATGGTTTGTGATCAAAGAAAGAGAGCTGGTATGCGTCACAAGATTTTTATACGAGGCAATTATGCTGAGGCGCACTAAATACTTTTTTCTCTGTTAGGTGACACATCATATTGTCTTTGATCTGCGAGAAGAGTATTTATTGACCAAAAGCCAAATGACGTTGATGAGCGGTTCTTGCGTATAGACAGTATGAGCGATTCCTTCTACAAGATACAAAATGGTTGGCTTTCAACAACAAGATAAAACCTATTGCACAAAAGCGACAGAAAAATAACATTCAGATCAGCTATTAGAGGGCTGATCGGGACGCCGTCTGGTCGTGAATTATGAGTTTGACAAATAGGTTAAATGGATACGGTCGCGTCCATAAAGGTAACATTAATTGTGTCGTGGACGGCACCGATCCATGCTAGAATGGTTGGAAGAGGATCGACCGAGGTTTCAATGGATGCTCTCATCAAGAAAGAATTGAAGCTATCGGCATCAACTTAGCGTGGACTATGGAGTTCCTTAGGCATCTCGGTTGACGGGATGCCGCATATTTCTCTCTAATGTTACTATGCAGGAAAAAGAGGTTCGCAAACATTGAGCAAACAGTTTTCGGCAAAGAAGATTTATTTGGTTAGCTGTTTTTCTTCGGACATCCTTCTAGCCTGCTCAAAATTAACGTTGACCGATGGCAGAAGGGCGGCAGCGCCACGAGGGTGATGCTATTTACAGTCCAAATTATCACAGCATTTGCAACGAAGAGGCTGCCGTATACATTCAGAATTGTAAGAGTTTTCTCGCTCGCAGTTCATTATCATCTAAATGTCTCGAAAAATTAGCAAGCATCAGCAATTTCATCAGCACTGACAGGTCTCTGCATGCAATCTTTCGCAAGAGGCAAACGCCTGCATCACGTGGTGGCTAAGCCTAAATTGAGCTTAATGTATACTAATACCCAAAGTCTTCCCTTTAAAGTCAAAGAACTCGAGGCTTTACTTTCAGACTGGAGACCTGATGTAGTTGCCATAACGGAAACGTGGCTTAGAACAGAAATCGCGGATTCAGTGATTTCGATTCAAGGTTATTAGCGTTTTCGCAAAGGCCGTCAAAACAGACAAGTTGGTGGGGTTGCACTATATGTCAGAACAGGAATCTCCGTTGTCGAACGAGAACGCATCCTAGCTCTGGAGTATGAAGCCATCTGGATGAAGATAAAGAAGGTAAATTCGCAGAACCTATAATTCCTAGCCGTATACAGGCCACCAAACATTCTGAGTGCAGCTGATGACTTGCTCCGTAGTCTGGTGAAGGAAACAACTAGACATCAAGAGGTTCTTATTGCTGGTGATTTCAACGCAACCGCAATAGATTGGGAAAATCTGACAGTAAAGGGGGTGCCAGCTTACTTAAGTTCTAATTTAATGGAATTCACACTTGACCTCCCTCTG